TCATCAAAGATGATAGTTTTCTACTGAATCTGGGCAGTAGGGAGTGGAAGCAAATTGAGTCACTGAAATTCGGAGTTTTCATCCCTGCTCACTCCCGGGCGTCTGCTGGGCTCTGCGTGTGGAGCAGGGGGCGCGAGCACCTTGTGACGAGGAAGCTCCGGCCCAGGCACGGCGGCCGGCTCCTGGGTGTCGGTGCGCCTGGTTTTCCCTGGCCCCGGGCCCTCGCTCGGAGCACACAGCCTCCCGCCAGCCTCCCGCCACGTCTGATTTCTGCAATACACTGCCTTTGAGCAGAGGGTGCGCCATTCCTAATTCTTCGGCTTTTGACGGGTCTGACTGATTGCCCCCCCGCCCCTGCCCCCGCCCCCGCCGTGCTCACTTCCAGATGGGTCCTGGGGTTCGGCTCAGACCCCAGAGCTTTTCTGAGCCCACAGCTGCGGTCTGGGCAGCAGGGGACAGTGGGGGCAGAGGGAGCAGCTGCCCTGAGGCCACACGGCGTCCACGCCCCCAGCCCCCCACCCTATCAGCACCTTTATTTCCCGAAACACTGACGGTGCGGCAGGAGTCCCCCGTGCGCTTCCCACAGTATCCACGGAAGCGACCCCGCGCGCGCGACAGGGGCCACGGAAGTGACCCCGCACTTGGAACGGGAGCCACAGAAGTGACCCCGCGCTAGCGGCAGGAGCCACGGAAGAGTCAACCCTGCGGTCCTCCAAGTGCAGTCCGTTGGGGCTTTAATTGGTTTGAGACAAAAATAAGCAAGTAACAGAATAATAACTCACTCACTCACTAAAAGGGGGAAACAAATGGAATAGAAGACGCGCTCGTCCATGGACGTGCAGGCCAAGGACCACGCTCGCTCGAAGCCGCGCTCCCCACGCGCAATTTCAAGGCCGACCCCGTGTCCCTCCAGTCCCCCCACTGACGGGGCAGCACCCGGGGGAAGAACAGGCTGGGACACGCCCTGTGGCAGGTCAAGTTTTGCCCTTTTTGTCTCAAAAGCAAGGGTGGCCTTTGCCAAAATCCAAAGAGGGTGCCGCTCATGGTCCCGCGGAAGCCCGCCGGCCGAGCGGCCTGTCCCTGTCCGCGCCCCTGCCCCAAACACACACACAAGGAGGGGTCAGAGGTCAGGGCCCAGCACGCGCCGCCTGCCAGCGCTGCCTGCCGCCCACGTGACCGCGGGCCGGGGCGCGGACGGCACCCCCCTTCTGCGCGTGGGGCGTTGGAGACGGCCCGTGACATCCGCCAAAGGTAAAGTTTGTCTGCGACTCTGAGGAACCTTGTCTCTGGTTTCCGTTTATTGCTGTACCAAAGGAATTAAAATCTCCGGCTAAAAGGAAAGAAATAGATAAACGGAGTCAAGTCATACAGATGCCGAGACAGACAGGCACACGCAGGCAAAGCCACGGAACAAGGAAAGAAGGTTTAAATGTTTATTTCCATGTTAAAAACGATGTGCGACCCTGTGGTTAGAATATACCTTTATGCTGGAAGTCACTTTAGTTCTGAAATATTTCCAGAAGAAAAAAAAAAAGTGGAAAGGAAAAAATATCCAAAAGTGATGATGAGTAAGATTAAAATGCGCTGGAAGGCTCCACCCTCACCCTCCACGAGCCCCGCCCCTCCGGCCGCCCCAGGAGGTGGCGCCTGTCACCGGTCAGGCCCCGAGCTCCCCACCATCAGGCGGGTACTGAGCGGGAGGCCCGGACATGTCAAAGCCACAGGTCCGACGCACCTGTCGGGGTCCCAGGATCTCGCCTCTATTCCGTACAAAAATATCTGCTACCCATGTTAGCGTGACTGCCACCACAGTCCCTTCCCATGAGGGTGACAGGGTCACATCACACGTGCGTGATCTCGAAGGCGAGGACGGCTGCTGGGTCTGGAAACCGTCCCTGACGCACGGACAGAGACTGGAATGGAGAACGGAGACCTTTCCGAGATGATCAGAGAAAACCCAGCGGGGCCGATCACACGGAGGACCCCGACGAAACTGCTCTCTGCGGCCACGACGACGAACTGAGCGTCCCCCTCTGACAGACACGTGGAGCCCGGACTGTGGGCGCTGCGCCCCAACACCGAGGACGCCGTGCTCAAACGGCACGGGCTGCTGATGAGACACACGGAGGCAGACTCGGAGACTAAACCCTGGCGAGGCGGGAACACTTCGTCTGCGGACGTGCCGGGCAGACACGAGTCCATCTCTCCCCGCGTTCGTGTTTGCAAACAGAAACCCTGCCCGGATTTCAGGGCTACTGGAGTCTGGGGACCCTGCTGGCCAGTCCGTGAGGTGAGAAGCTGGGACGCAAAGGGGCCCTTCCCGTGGGCCACACGGAGCTTTCCCAGGGGTCTAGGGCATGGCCCTCCGGCCTCTTCTTCTCGCTCTCTCAGATGCCACACTCAGGTGCTGTCCTGGGAAGGGACCCCTCTGGGCCTGGGGACTGGTGTCACATCTCTGCTGTTGAGGTCACCGGGGCCTCGAGGAGAACCTGAGCTGCCCCGCCCTCTCGTGGGACTCGGGGTCCGCAGCCTGCTGGCCCCTCGCGTGGCTGGCAGGCGTCCACCTAGGGGGTCTCAGCATCCCCAACCGCACAGCGAGGCAGGGATTCCGCCGACGTTGTTCTTTTCAGGTTATCAACTCCGATCACTTGGGTCCCTCGGCCAAAAAGCCCTGGGAAACCCAGGCAAGTGCACGGTCCCCGGCACACTGCCTTCGAAGGCTCAACGGTCCCTGCCGTCCCCCCGCTCTGTCTACTGTGCCGGGCGCTGCTTTGCCACGCGCTTGGAGGTGGGCGGCTGGACCACACGCAGGCACAGCCCGTGGCTTCCCGTCGATGGGAAGCGTCCGGAGCAGAACGAAGGTCAGGGAAACTGTGCCAGGGAACAGGGCCCACGCCGGGGGTCCCGTGGAGTTGTTCCCACGCCGTCCGGCTGTTTGCTGAGCACACGCACACATGTACAACCACACATTTCTGTGCGTGTGTGTGTGTGTGTGTCGTATGGTGAAGGGGCACCTTCCTCCACCATCCCACCTTCGACCTTTATTTCGTACTGAGTTTCCAGGCAAACAAGGGGAAGATGCAAACCGAGAGAAGATGGAACATATCTTAAGAAGGAGCAGGACGCTGGATGTTTCCATGAGCACGAGCCGTCTCTCCGGCCCCGCCCAGCGAACCCTCTGAAAGGTGGTGCCCCCCCCCCCTTTGCTACCTGCCTCGCTGTCCCGGAGGGTGTCAGCCGTCTCCTCGCAAACCCCCAGTGCCGGCTCTCCGGGCCTCCTTCTCCCTCAACAGCTTTAGTTCCTACCCCTTTCTCACGGGACCACCGGCCTCGGGGACTCGGGCTGACGTCCCTGGTGATGTCCGCCCAAGTCCCGTGGGTGAAGCACAGGCAGGACTCTGCGTCACGGCTGGGCACCCCGCCTCTAGGGGAACAATCCATCACCTCTTCTTTGGAACAGCTCAGTCCTCAGCCACCGGGTGTTAGGGAACCACCTCCAAGGACCCCCTGCGGGCGCGAGCTCCCTGACCTTTGAAATCCCGTTCCTCCCGACGCGGATGGCTCGGCTCGGGAAAGCTCATGACCCGGCGGCCCGGCCCAGAGTCCGGGCAACCCGTCTCAATAAATTAACCCGTTGCCATGGTTCCCTAACCTGCAAATTCTTCGTTTGCCTCCGACAATTCACGCTGCGCTTTGAAAAACGTTTTCGTTTAAAAGTGACGCAGGGAGCATGCTTTTCTCTTTCTCTCCGTCTCTCTGGTGCCTTTGATTTTCCAAGGACTCTGGTGTGTCCTCGCCGCGGCCTCCTGAGCTCTGAAAGGGTCGTTCATGGGGTGTATGAACTTTCGGGGGGTCTATTGCTATTCTCCATCCGGGCACCCCCCGAATGGTTTTATCTGCGCAAGAGTCATTACTGGGGACATGGGGGGGGGGTCACTGCATGGATGGCTTTCTACATATTGCTAAGTTAAAACGTCATCCTACTTTTAAATTTTGTTTTTGTTCTGGTCCAGTGGGAAGTATTTCCCTGAAGGTATTTCCTCTGCAGTCTCCTCTCTGTGCGTAACAACTTCGCAACCGGATTTCAGTGTGGCTAGTAAGCCGGTTGGCCACAGAGCAACTCATACAAATACAGCTGCTTCGAGATCCTTTTGCCCCAGCCATGCACCCCAGGAGCTCCCCGGGAATCTGCAACACGCAGAGACCACCACAAACGGCGGTGGCCCCGACGTCTCGGCCGAGTCTGTCCGCGGCACGTCGGAAGCTGGAAGGAAGCGGCCCGCGTCCCCGGTGAGACGAGGAAGATCGGCAACACGAAGGGGAGGCTGAGCGAGGGGAGCCCTGCGGCGGGGACCCCAAGACGGGGAAGCGTGGGGAACGGGAGAGACCAGGACACGAGCCGACGTGGCCAACCTCACGGAACCCCACCCGGGGGGCACAGGACGACACCAAGACGCATGTAAATGGAACAGATCTCAGAGGGAAAAACAAGAAAGAAAGGACGTTTCTCTTCTTCACGTTCCAAAGGAACGGCAGGGTCCTGGGAGAAGCTCGACGTGTGCAGACGGGTAAGCAGGCCCGTCACGCGGCGGCTGCGCTCAGCACCCGTGCGCCGGCCTCGGGCCACGGGCAGGAAGCGTCCACTGTGCTTTAGAAGGTCTGGGAACAGAAGTCCACACCAAGTCTCTTCCGAGTCCACACGGCCGCATGTCCCGAGATGACTAACGAGGTCCGCGGGGTCGGCTTTATTCTGAGCTGGGACCAGGCAGCCGATGAAACGCGTTTGGAATTTCTCCGGGACCCACGCGGGGCTGTCAGAGACGCGCCCAGCTCGCCCCCGGCGGCCCGGTTCTCCCGACCTCGGACCCGGCTCCGCGTGGGATCCCGCCGACCGCCCTCCACCCGGTAAGCTCGGGGCCGTGGTGCCTGCTGCGAGTTGACCTCACGGCTCCGCCCTCGAAAATCAAGGCATAAAAGGTGAATACAAACGTCAGAAAGGGTTACATCTGGTCCTGCAGCCGCCCCACGTAGTCTCTGAAGTCCTGGGGGTCCCCCAGCCCCATGTCCCGGCAGACCCACTCGATGCTGTCCTCGCCGTCGAACAGGATGGAGTTGGTGTAGGGGCCGCCGTCCTCGGGCAGGATGGTGGTGTAGGACGTGAACTTGACCCTCTTCCTCTTGGGGCCGGAGGGCGTGCCGGGCTCGGGCTTCCGCTCCTTCTCGTAGACGTAGTCGGGCGGCCGGAGCAGCTGGCCCTGGAAGGCCTTCTGCGAGCCGCCGTTGAGGAGGTAGTGCCGCTCCTCCAGCGACAGGCCGCGCTCGGCCGCGGCGCAGCCCTCGGCCGGCAGCGCGAAGTCCATGGGGCTCTCCAGCAGCTCCACCTCGTTGCCCAGCCAGACCCAGTCGTGCGAGTGCGGGATGTTGCCCTGCTCGCTCACGGCGAACCGCTTGTGCCTGTATTTCCACGCGAAGGCCACGCAGTTGACCAGGAAGACCAGGATGGCCAGGCAGAAGACGCACAGCAGGGCGTACATGCCGATCTCCAGGTCGGTGAGCCCCCGGGAGGTGACTGTGAGGTCACTGGGAGGGTGGGGTCCCGGTGACTCCCCTGGAGCAGGGACGCTCGTGACGGCGTCCGGACGGCGGCCCTTGAGGAGCTTCTGGTCCTTCCTTCCCATGGGGGGCTGCGGGGTGGTGCTCCCGTTGGGGCCGTGCTCCTGGCCCACGGGGGTGCTGTGCGGCGGCCACCCCTGGACCGCCCGCTCGTGGGCGCCTTCCCGCTCGATGGAATTGCTCAGGTGGTCCTTGTACTCCCGGGTCACGGCCCCGATGTCATTGCTGCCTCCTCGCTGCTTGTCGAGGTCCGGGTCGAATCTGACCTTGACGGTGCCCTTGCCCGTGGCGAGAACGCTCTTCCGCTTGGTCTTCTGGCAGAGCTCACTGATCACCATCTCCAGCTTGACCAGCGGCCCCTGCCCGGTCCCCTCCGCGGCCACCACCGGCCACTGGGGCTGCAGGTTTGCCCGGACGGACGCCACCATCTCGTCCAGCGAGGAGACCGAAACGGAGAAATCCTTGGGGTCGTAAATGTCCAAGGGCGTCACCGAGCCGTCGCTGAACAGGATCCAGGAGCTGACGATCGCTTCCTGCGAGAAACGAAACCACAGCGTTAGGTCCTGACCCGGTCCCTTCAAGTCCGCAAGCGCGGGTACGGTTTCCCACGGGACAGTCCCTAGACAGACGAGCTCCTGCGTTCTGTCACCTTGAGCAGCTCCTGGTCGGCGTGGAACCGGCCTCCCCAGCAGACTGCGCCCGCCGACGGGGAGCAAACACGACGCAGTAACTCCCAGGCACGCGTGTTAATGCACCGCATGCCGCACGCCAGAACCTGGCCTCGGACCTTCCTGAAAGCACTCTGAAAGGTCAGGTCATTTATCAGGACCAACTTCAGGTGCCACTAGTCAGCCGTCTGCTGCAGTCGAACCGACCTTCTTAGGAGGCCGGTGCCGGTGAAGCAAAGGGCGGGCATTGGCCGGAGGAGCCGGAAGACGCCGCATGGGGCTCAGCGCCCTGGGTCCCCATGAGGACGGAGGCGAGTTTTAGCAGTGACGATAAAGACGTGTATTGGCCCTGGCCGGTTTTGTTCAGTGATTAGAGAGTTGGCCTGCGGACCAGAGTCCTGGGTTCGGTTCCCGCTAAGGGCATGTACCTCGGTTGCAGTCTGTCCCCGGCCCTGTTTGGGGTCGTGTGGGTGGCGACCAGTCCATGTATCTCTCACATTGATGTTTCTCTCTCTCTTCCTCCCTCTCTCCCTCCCGCTCTACCTGAAGATAAATGCAATATATATATATCTCCATCCTCAGGTGAGGATTAAATAAATAAATGAACATGTATTAAACAGCAGCAGTGTGGTGCCCACCAGCCATGCTAATTCACGTGGCTACAGTGGAATTTCCACGTATGAAAAACCATGTGCTGTGGCCACAGTGAGAGATGCGACCCTTCGGTGTCGGTCCAGCAGCCCGGGAGAGCAGACGGCATGCGGGACATGGTGGGGAGACAAACACATGCGAGGGGAGTATCCGAGCCCCCGAGCGTCCCGAGACAGAACGGAGCGGAGGGGACGCAGGAAGAAGCTGAGAATCCCCAGTCCCAGCACGGGGAGCCCTGCCAACCTCTCGGTGGACACAGAGAAGTCGTCTCAGCGGATCATGGACCAAAGGACTCGGGGGTCTCACCTGCTGAGGGGCCTGGAGGACGTCCAGGGCAGTCACTGTGGACACGATGGCCCTTCGGTCCGCCCGGTGCGGCTGCAGGGAGAGAGACAAGCCCGCCACCAGCTGCACCCCCAGGTCTGCGATGGTGACGCGGTCCTCCAGGACGGTCACCGTCTTCTCAGCCAGGATGGAGTCCGACAGAGGCGAGAGGACCTTCGAAGGAAGCGAGAGAGCTGCAGTCTCCGCTCCGCACACTAGACCCCAGCGCCCCCCAGTTCTCCGCTAGGTGACAGCTTTTAGGGGACACATGCAGCCAAGTGCAGCTACTGCTCAGTCCTCTCGCTGAGTGAAGGGCGGCACATGTCCCTGTGGCCCTTCCCGCGATGTGGACCGTGACGGCGGCAGAGGGTCCCCAGGAGGAGCCTGGCTGAATTTCAAGGCGCCAACTACCCGTCGCCCACCGTGTGCCAGGCACCCAAGGGGAACGTTCTCCCGGCAACTAATATTTAGGGGGGACACAGCAGGACGAAACTGGTGACAGAAGCGCGGCACAGCCGACTCCTGCTCATATTCCTCCCGTGGGCACTCGGATACGCACGGAGGGGCAGCGATGACCGCGGCATGGGCCGCTGTGCCGTCACTGGATAGACGTGGGACAGGCAACCTGATGTCGGGAGAGGCCTCTGCTCCGCACCGACCACCTCGCTTGGGGACCGAGAGGGCTGTCCGGCGGCAGAGTTCCACTGTCCCCCGTGAACTCAGGGCGCCTCCCGTGATTCCGCTATATCCACACAGACAGAGGCCTGAGAATCGGGACACTACCCTGGACTCTCCGGGCAGGGCCGGAGTCGCCACGGGGCCCGCGAGGCAGCAGCCCTCCCAGCTGAAGGCAGAGGTCAGCTCCTCCTGCGAGACGCCTCGGTGGCCGTCACTGGCCACGGAGCGGCCACAGGAAAACGCACCCAAGTGGCCTCTGGGAGCACAGGGACTCTGGGCTGATGGTCCACAGGGACACAGACCCCTCGTCCCACACCCTGAGGAACTGCACCCGGCCCACAGCCCCAGCTGGGGAGGAAATCCTTCCCCGAAGCCCCACCCCGTGTTCCCAGCCAGACCCCACTGTGATCTGAGCCTCGTGGCACCCTGAGCACAGAACCCAGGACCGGACCAGAACCCAGGACTGCACCAGAACCCAGGACCAGACCAGAACCCAGGATTGCACCAGAACCCACGACCAGACCAGAACCCAGGACTGCACCAGAACCCAGGTCCGGACCAGAACCCAGGACCGCACTAGAACCCAGGACCACACCAGAACCCAGGACCACACCAGAACCCACGACCAGACCAGAACCCAGGACTGCACCAGAACCCAGGTCCAGACCAGAACCCAGGACCGCATCAGAACCCAGGACTGCACCAGAACCCAGGACCAGACCAGAACCCAGGACCGCACCAGAACCCAGGACCAGACCAGAACCCACGACCAGACCAGAACCCACGACCAGACCAGAACCTAGGACTGCACCAGAACCCACGACCAGACCAGAACCCAGGACTGCACCAGAACCCAGGACCGGACCAGAACCCAGAACCAGACCAGAACCCACGACCAGACCAGAACCCAGGACCGGACCAGAACCCACGACTGCACCAGAACCCACGACCAGACCTGAACCCAGAACCGGGTCAGAACCCATGACTGCACCAGAACCCCGGACCGCACCAGAACCCAGGACTGGACCAGAACCGGACCAGAACCCAGGACTGCACCAGAACCCAGGACCGGACCAGAACCTAGGACCGGACCAGAACCCAGGACCGGACCAGAGCCCAGCCCCCTGAACTCCCGATGAGTCAGCAGTGCTTTAAGCTGCTAGATTTCTACTGACTTGTTACATGTCATAGAAGGTGATATACAATGTAACATGTTTAACCCAGCTTTGCCCAGTGTAACCTTGGCAACACCTAAATTGCTAGCAGCAACATTTCACACGTTTCCTGAAAGGACTCTGCACCATTTCTGCTGAATCACCCATCCGCATGGCTAGCAAACAGCTTTCCTGTTACTGGAGCAAAGTGCAGAGCTTAACTGCGGGCTTCTCTTTTTAATGCAAATCCATGTTCTTTTAATACTCTTTTGTCTACCATTCAAGGTATAACACAGCGACATGAGGAACCCTCCGGGTTCAGAAAACAACCCCCAGGCTCTGCCAACGTCTACCTGCGACCACAGAGAGCCCGTCACCCGGGGGAAGACAGCTTGCGCCCTGGGATGCATTTAGCTTGGACCAAAGAACTTGGGCATTTCCCTAGGCCTCTCTGACATGCAACCTGCAAGTGCCTCTCCACGATGAGAAGTGGCGCGTAGGCGCACAAGCGCGCCGGTCACGGTGCCCCTCCATGCGCCCTCCTCCGCGCGCACCCCGAGCGCGCCCCCTCCATGCGCCCTCCTCCACGAGACCCCTCCGCGTGACCCTCTCCGCGCGCCCCCCTCCGTGCGCACCGTGAGAGTGCACCCCCGAGCGCAGCCCCTCCGCGCACCCCCTCCGCGCGTACCCCGAGTGCGCCCCCCCGAGCGCACCCCCTCCGCGCGCCCTGACGCCGTACCTGCACAGTGGTGAAGCCCGGCTCCCGGCCCACCAGGGTCCTGCCGTCCTGGAGCTGCACTATCCGTGGCTCCTCCACCTTCATGGAGCCCACCACGAGGTGAGTGACGTCGAACTGCCAGTCGGGACCCAGCATGCAGCGCAGCTGCCCCGCGTCGGGCGCCTCGGCCACAAACTGGGTGAGGACGCGCACCGTGGCGTGCTGGTACTGCAGGGAGCACCCCCGCCCCTTCTTCTCCTCGTCCTCCTCGTCGTCGCTTTCCCGGGTGGGCCTGCGCACCAACAGACCACACGCGTCACCGCGGCCGCCACGGGTCACGCGCCTCGCGCCCCAGGCTCCCCGGCTGCACAGGGCGTGAGGCGGGTTTGCGCCAGCTCACTGTCCGCTCCCTCACCGCCGTCCCTCCACTCACGCCACGGACACTGGTGGTCACTACGCTGCCGCCTGCTTGAAACACGAGAGGTGAGCGCAGTTCCTGTCCCGCCAAGGGCCCTCTCTGTCCCGGCTTCTAGAAACCTGTGATTTCAAAGCCCTTGAGGCCACCGGTACCCCCACCCCACCCCGTCCAGCGGAGGGAGCCCAGGCCCTGCGTGGGGAGAGGCTTGTGGCCAGTGTCTCCTCCTGGTGGCCTTCTGGAGAAGATTTCGCCCCACGCAGGCCCGATCACCTCCCCGGGAGTGGAAATAGGAGCAACTGCCCCAGCTCCCTCCAGGTGCGAGGAGACGCGCTGGCCCTTCCTCTCTGCTTTGCTATTCCAGAGGCTTCCCCTCAAGGCCAACCTGTCCCTCGTCCTTTCGCGAAAGGACCTTGTCTGGTGGCTGCTGACCAGCCTGTGACCCTCCGTGGATGGGGATCTGTGTCCAGAGGGAAGGGCAGCCACCCACAGGCACGGAGTTAGACCCATTGTGTGTGGGTCCCACCCCAAGTGTTCAGGGACCGACAGGAGCGGACGGGGTGACCACGCAGTACACGCCAGCCACACGCATTCCGTTGGTCCATCTGGAACCCCAAGGGGTGTGGGCGTTTTATTGTCCCCATGTCACCAGTGTGGAAATCAAGGCAGAGAGGCCAGGGCCACACAGCTGTCCCCTGTGCCCTCCCTGCTGTCTAGCTGTCCCCTGTGCCCTCCCTGCTGTCTAGCTGTCCCCTGTGCCCTCCCTGCTGTCTAGCTGTCCCCTGTGTGCCCTCCCTGCTGTCTAGCTGTCCCCTGTGTGCCTTCCCTGCTGTCTAGCTGTCTCCTGTGCCCTCCCTGCTGTCTAGCACTAACTCCAGCATCACAACCACCCAGAAACACGCTCCTGTTTTCACACGAAGAGCCAGGGCTCAGCGCCTGGACAGCAGGAAACTCGCAGGTTTGGAAAGAGCTCTATGTGACCCCAGAGCCCTCTGTCTCCAGACCGGCGTCCAGGGAGGTCTGAGAACCAGGGAGGAAGCCACAGGAGAGGTCTGGGCAGCACTGGAACGCAGCAATCTGGGTTTCCCAACGTAATGGGGGGACTGTCCTTGCCAATGGTGTAATTTTGGGGGACAAAGGGTCAGAGCATTAAAAATACTAAGTGTGCCCTGGCCGGTTTGGCTCAGCGGTTAGAGACATGGCCTGCGGACCAATAATCCGCGGATTCAGTTCGTCAAGGGCATGTGCCTTGGTTGTGGTTCAGTCCCTGGCCCTGGTCGGGGTCGTGTCGGAGGCACCCAGTCATTGTGTCCCTCTCACATCTCTCTCTCTCCCCCCCCCTCTCTGTCTGATGATAAACAGAAAAATATTCTCGCGTGAGGATTAAAAATATATATGTGTGTGTGTATATATATATATATATATATATATATATATATATAAAGTAACAAGCCAAAAAATTATTCCCGTTGTATTTTTCAGTCCTGATTCTCTCGTAGGGAGTCTCCGTTCGGTCCGCTTGCCTCCCGCCAGGGCCGGCTCCAGACCACAGGCCCTCGGCCTCCCTGACAGCCACCCCTGCCCGGCCCCTCACCTTCTGTTGGGGGCCACGGGGATCCTCCATCCTTTGATCTGGCTCAGCTCCGTGTCCGAGATCTCGATCTGCAGGGGCAGCCGGGGCGCCCAGACGGTGACCTCCAGCTGAGCTGCAAAGTGCTGGTGGGTGAAGCTCACGGCCGTGCCCACGCGGCCCCTCATCTCCTTGCCGTTCACAAACATGGCGTCGCAGCGGCTGGAAACCTTTGGGGAGGGAGGGGTTGCAATCTCGAGGTGAGTCAGCAGGAACAGCAGAGGGAGGCTGCCAGGGACCGTCGGGGAACCCGGGAGGCTCTGGCTTTCCGGCCACCACACAAGCGACTTGAACAAATGGTAACTCGTGGGCACCACTGGGTGACAAATGCCAACAGAGAGACCCCAGGAAGGCCGCCGCCTAGGACACCGTCAAGGGACTTCAGTGGCGTTAAGTAACCTCTGTGGCCTCTCTCTGTGTGTGTTCCCTGTCCCTTCGCTATCCTGGGTACGCACACTGCCACCGGTCATGCAGCACCGCATTTGAGGGAGCAGAAAAGGCAGCCACACGTCACTGAAGAAAACACTGTATTCGTGGCACAAGAAAGATCTTTCTTTAAAAACCAACAGAGCTTTGCCCTAGACTAAAATCCTGGTAGGAAAACACTCACAAAATGCATGAAAATATGGATATAATTATGTTTGCCCTGTTAAAATACAAGCTGCAGGTCTGGCCAATGAGGCTCAGTGGTTGAGTGTCGACCCTGCACCAAAAGGTCGCTGGTTCGATTCCCGGTCAGGGCACATGCCCAGGTTGTGGGCCCGATCCCCAGTGGGGGGCATGCAGGAGGCGGCCAATTGACGTTCTCTCTCATCCATGTTTCTCTCTCTCTCCCCCACTCCCTTCCTCCCTCTCTAAAATCAATAAAGGAAAAAAACTTTCTTCTAATTTTTAATTATTTTTTACAAATAAAATACGAGCCGCAGGATGGGGGAAAGGAGATGCACTCGGCCGCGGCCCGGGCGCAGCGTGTGTTGGGGGCCCTATTCGCACGCACGTGTTAGCGGGTTGCGTGCCAGCCCCGCTGAGCCTCCGAGTTCGCTTCACATCGAAGCGAGTCCCTTCCCAGAGACGCGCCTGGGCAGGACCGGCATGTTCCCAGGGGAAGCAGATCGGCGGGGTTCGGGGTTTCCAAACACTTTGCCCAGACTCAGAACGCGTCTGAGGCCAGAGGCTTCTGCAGAGAAGGCTGCCATCTGCGCCCGGCACCACCGGCAGCTGAGCCCTCGGGGGCTCCGGTCCCTGGGGAAACACAGCGGCCGGCTGCCGCCCTCGGCCCCCACCTCAGAAGGGGACAGGAGGGACGCTGAGAGGCCCGAGCGCAGGAGACCCGGCAGGGACTGCTCTCGGCGGAGATGTTCAGAGACAGCGGCAGATGGGACCCGGCCAGGCCGAGCCAAGCCCCAGTGGCCACCAGCTGCCCCGCGATGGGCGGAGACTTGGCCCTGCGCTCAGGCAGTTGGAATCCGATAGAAAGTCCGGTGGGAACAGCGGTTCCCACACCAGGCGGGTCTGCTCCGTGACCGTCTCTGCCTCCAACAGCAACAAACCTCAGTCACTACCTCTGACGTATGGTTCTCATCTGGCCGCACACAGCCGGCGTATCCCATGTCCGGGTACCAGAAGCCAGCTCCCCGTATAATTCACTCAGGTGTTTTCAGCTCGAGGGCTGGATGCGGAGCCTCGAGGGCACTGGCGGCAGTGACTGAGCCGCCAAACCCCTTCCGATCCAGGGAGGCGGACCAAGCCAGGAAGGAGGGTCTGCCGGGGAGCACAGGAGAGTTGGGGACTGCGGCAAACTTGAGGGAACCACCTCATAGCTCACTCCAAGGGGCTGGCTCTACCCACCTGAGCCCCGCAGCCGGCAGGGACCCGGGACTGGGTTCGGAGCTCTCCTGACTGTGCAGGAGTCCCGGGGCATCCAGGGTTTGGGTGAGATCCACTCAGTTTTGAATGTTGGTGAGAAGGCCGGCCAGGCGCAGCCCTTAGGCGGTGCAGAGAGCCCGCCTCCGGCTTTATGTCACTCCCTTCCATCCGCCAACCGCCTCAACTGCAGTGGAACTAGAAGGCCCCCAAGTGCCCCAAGGCGTATCGTGTATAAAAGACGCTGGAGCCCGGGCTCGGCTCGGCCTTTGGAGGTGACTCCGCTGAGACAGCACCGGTGCACGTCAAACGGCCCTTTTCTAATCCTCCGAGTGCACGCGGTCTGTCTCTTCCCGCCGACCGAACTCTGCCACAACGTCATAAAGCACATATCTAGCCCAACAGAGAGCCGCGGGGTGCATTTGCCTTGAGGCCTGTCCTCTGATGACCCCTGCCTCAGATGTCCTCACACACGTGGTAGGCACCGGTGAGCGGTCAGGTTTCGTTCTGCCTACAGCGGGTCTCCCTGGGAGGTCCGCAGCGTGGCCTCGGCAGCATCCTGCTCGGCAGTGCTTCCAAGGGCGTCCGCGGGCCCCGCCAGGAACAAGCAGGCACGTCTCACCTGCCAGCGCAGGTGCGCTCCACGGAGCTCTGCCCGGAGAAGGAATCTGGGCGCCGGGCCTGACTGACGACGTCTGCAGGGCACACGCCAGGCAGTGGTGTCTGGCCACATGTTCCTGTCCATCACACCGGTGAAGCCCGACGTCCTCGGCCCACCGTGCCTGAGCCGAGCCCCTTCCATGCCAAGCGGGGCACCAGCCCTGCGGCCACACCTGCCAGGCCCTGAAAGCTTCTCAGAACGGCTCCGTCCCTCGAGGAGGCTGTCAAAGGGACACGGGGACCGGCGCCCAGGAGTGCCCTGCTGATGCCCAGCCAGTCTCAGCACAGGGAGTCCCCCCCGCTCAGGGACACCGCTGTGCTCGGATGACGAGAAGCCAGAGTGCGCGCCAAACGCTGGCCACGTGTTCTGCACAAGGACGCCAGGAGGCCGGCGACGCCCCAGCCCTGTTCTGGAGCACAGACCCCGGGAAGGAGCTCATCCGTCCCGAGCACCCCCAGGTGACTTTCTTGGAGCGCTAGCTTGGAGCTGAGGCCTTGGGTGTTTACCAGGAGCTTGTTGACCGGGCTTCTGACGCCCCTGAGGCCTGTCTGCAGTGCTGGCTCTGTGCCAAGGCCCCCCCAGCGCGGGACGGCGTCCCAAGCGCTTTGAAATCTGAGATTTCCTTTCCGCACTTCCAGTTCGACCGCAGATGTGTCCGTGGCAAGTTCATCCGAGAGCCAGTGCAGGAGGTGTCATCAGTTCCGAATGAAGAGTGAACAGAAAGGACCGCTAACGGCTGGGAGCCCCGCCCTCTCGAGACTGGACCACGCGAGGTCAGAGCCCCTTTGTTTAATAGGAGGCCTGGAATCCTCGCCACCCCCTCCAAGAGCCCGTCTTCCACGTTTCAGCCGAGACAGAGTGTATACCTCCAGCAGCTGCCTACATCACAGACATCGACAAAGTGTTGTTAACTCACCTATGCTCAATTCCCTGCGTATTTGAGGGCAAACGTGTGAGACTCTCAGACTTCTGTCCCCGGGGCCCATCTTCACTGTGGTTTTATGTTCACGAGCTCCTAACACACGTGAAGTTCTCTAGACATCTAAAATGTGGGACACACTATTGTCACTGGGAGATAATCCCCTTAATCTCTGGATATGCTTAAAGTAACTCAATTGACAGACAGTCACAGAGTTGCAGGGCAGGGGGCGGGGCACTCATCGCCAAGTTCAGAAACAAGCAGCATGAATCTACAAACCAAGATTCAAACATAAAAACAAAAATCAGAAGTGGCCAGAATGCTGCGACCTCCGCATCTATCAAACATGGAGCGTTTCAAAATATTTTAGAACTGCTTTTCTCCTGTAGAAATAGCCGTTATCACCACATCAATAGAAGGGGCAAAATCCGCATGATCATCTCAGTAGACACGCAAAAGAGCATGTGGGAAAACCCAGCAGCCCTTCACGTGAAACACTCAACTGGGAACAAAAGGGAAAGTCCTCCACGTGATAAAAGGCAAGTCCAAAAAGAAGAAAAAACACCATTAATATTATACGTAATAATAGAGAAAAAAGGGGAAGCGTTCCCCCTAAGATCAGAGACAAGACAAAGATGTCCCTTCTCACTTACTCTATTCAACATGTTACTAGCGAGTCTAGCCTAAGCAATAAGGCAAGAAAATGAAATAAGATACATCAAGATTGGAAAAGTAGTAGTGAACAATGGCTCTTTGTGGATAATATAATCTTTTATGTGACAAATACTAGGGAATCTACTAAGAAAAAAAAATTATTAAGCCAGTAATCCCGACCATGGACCTGAGCGGGGCCTGGATGGGGAAGAGCAGACGGGATGCCCGAGAGGAGGGAAGAAGCAGGGGCCATGCTGACCGAGGGAGGGGAGCTGGGAGGCTCACAGGTTTACTCTGCTCATCCAGGATTTCTCCACATTATGGAAACAATCCCAGAATGTTTGTTCTTAATGAGAGAGGCAAGAGCAGGAATGAACAAAAGATCTAATTCACACAGAAATGACCGTCATGCTGACAGGGTCGGCGGAGGGTGGAGGACACAGCCATCTCTGCCCTCTGGCCCACAGGACATGCACGACAGGGCTCCAATCAGAACAGAACGAGAAAAGTCCAAATTAGCAGCATAAAGGATGAAATTAGGCAACAACATTCTAACTGCCCGACAGCTTATTCTTAGCTGCCTGGCTGCTGGGGATGGGTGAAGGGAAGGGGAGTCAGCCCGCAAATAGAACAGCAGTGTTTTCGGCAGGGATGTCTGCCAAGCATCGCTCAAGGAGAAAGCAAGCCTTACTCCTCTGGGTGTCTCTGCATCTCCTTCTAAAGCAAAACTGGGGTCAGTGTGAGCATTTCTTTGGGAGCCAGTGTGGCCGACAGTGGACGAGACCTTTCTGAACCCCGTCCTCCTCTTCGTCCACCCTGTGGGGCCTCATGACACCTCATCCCTCCCCACCTGTGCCCCCTCCTCCACCGGCTTCCTCGGGCACACACGGGGAAGGTCAGAGGGCGGCCTCCGGGCTAAACGTGTTTGCGGCTCTTTCCCGTGAGGGACCTGCCAACGGTTAGAAGTGCACGCTCTTCCATGAAAGCCTGGGTTTGCAGAGGCAGCTGTCCTGACGTGGAGGGGACAGGAAGGACCTGCTTGTCCACATCCTGGTGCAATGGACTGGGACCAG